AAAAAAAAAAAAAAAAAAAAAACTTACACTTTTGCTAATACATCAGCCAGTTGTTCATCATCGGTACATGCGGCATGATTGGGAGCGATGATGTACTTGCCTGCTTTATTGCGGGCAACGTCTTCACAATTGAGTAAGTCTAAAAAAGTCTACTGAGGATTCCTGAGTTAAGATCTAACCCGAGAGACAGCGACTGGTTCCGCCTTGAGACTCTTGATGACTCTCTCCAGCCAACCATTGACATGCTACTGAACTTGTCCGTTTTCATGTGGTTTGGCGCTGTTTGCCCCTGGCCCATCTTCTTGAACAACAATATTATTCCCATATATAGGTTAATTGGGCTAGGGATCCTAATTCTACTATTCCGCCGGCTTCCTGTTGTTTTTGCTATGCACAGGTACATCCACCAGATTGAAGAGTTTCGCCAGGCCGCTTTCGTCGGATTTTTCGGTCCCATTGGCGTCAGTGCCATCTTCTACCTATATGTTAGCCTGGAATACGTCAGGCGCAATCTTATAGTAGATGGGAAGGTAAGGGAAGACGGGGAGCGTCTTATTGAGACGATGTACATCGTCGTTTGGTTCTTGACTATCTGCAGTATTGTAAGTGTTGCTAACCCAGACTCGTTAAACTACTCATTTTTGTTTTAGATAGGCTAATGGTTCTCCTAGGTTGTCCATGGGCTGTCCATTCCTATTGGAAAGCTCGGTTTTAGCATCCCACGCACACTTTCTAGTGCCCTCAGCACGAGCATCGATATAGATTCCGAGCGTGGCCCACACTCTGGAGTCAACACCCCTGGCTTCCAACATACAGCCAGTATAGCTACTTCTGCTCCTGCTCCGAGAACTCCACGCTTCATACCAGCTAGATTCCGCAAGCAACCTACAACAAAAAGTGGCCGTCCGCGAGACGATCCCCCAACCCCAGTGGCATTTCGCATTGGTCGTACTGTCATTCCGGAACGCAACGATATGGACGACAATGAACCTGATAATACATTGCCCTCGTCTGACTCGACCATTGCAATCCCACAGAGGGTCAAAGACTAAAATTGCATCGGAGGGACATATGTTAAAGCATTGGATACTGCATTTTGCTCGCGTATGAATAGCGAGTGTCAACAACAGTAGTAGGTCGGCCACAGGAGAAGGATATGGGTATGGGTAAGTTGAGTGTAGGGTCTGTCTCCAATAGTGGGCCATATACGGTTTCACCAGCGGGTGATGAATGGATGGTGGAAAGGGATGATTATCAAGTTGGAAAATAGGAAGGGTAACTATATTAAACAAATTGGATACAATTAAGTTATGTCGGAGCTTTTATTACATTATACTTACTCGATAGTCTGGGCTCTCGAGTAGCCTTATCCGCTGGATTTCTCGGTTTTCCCTGGCATCCGGCCTGTTTCACCTGTCCGAATCTCCTCCGGGTCCGCTCTAACGGGCATTCCAGCCTCTTTGTAAATCTTATCAATGCATTCCGTGTTGTATATAGCGTCGTCATTAGAAATGCAGCATATAGGCTCCTTGCCTCTGACTTTCTCGAGAAATGCTTCCAGTTGCCATCTATATGTGCTCCAGTGACTCTTTCCTCCTTTCCCTCCCGTAGTCCATCTTTCATCTCAGAGAGGGCCTCCAGAGCTCTGTGTCTTGTATTCCGTCATCCCAGTCCGCTTATCAGTGATGGAGATGTAATGATAGATATGGGGCATCATTGCGTTGTAGAAATAGATTATTGCGGCATCTGTCTCCACCTCGATCGATGGTAGTTCCCAGACACGAGGGAGAATACCGCCTAGTCTGCTGCGAGACATGTCTGTGTAAATCCGGCTGGTAATGGGGTTACCTTTTTCGTCTTCAAAGAGCAATAATGCATGCATTGCAGCGTCAACACGGCTATCATCCCTTGATGGACGAGCAGCTGCCGAGAGGATCCTCTTCGGACGTTTAGACGGGAGCACATATTGAGTGAATGATAAGGCATATGATCCGTCCATCAAGGAACCGCCTACAAAAGGGATCATGATAAGCAAAAAAGAGTCAGAAATGGGACGTGCATTGGTGCTGGTACGCTTACCCCCTTGATCATACTGCCATCTTGGATCTGCATCGGGCACAGCAGGGCTAGATGTCATCCAGGCATCAGTACGAATGATTCTCCCGTATCTCTTTGAATCTACAATCTCCTTGAACCGATGAGCGGCTGGATGGAATTGCCAGTGAAACTAGAAGAGTGGCGGTTACTAAAGGTGTTTTATAGAAGAGAGCGGATAAGAAACCTACGGCATCTTGGAGGACCAAGCCCCGCCTCTCTGCGTCATCGATCAATGTTCTTGCCTCATCTGCATTTGCTGTAGATGGCTTTTCACAGATAACATGTTTTCCGGCAGCTAAGGCATTCGTAGCCCACTCAAAAAATATGTTGGGTGGTAAGGATATATGGACAATATTGATCAACGGATCATCCAGTAGCTCCCGAAAGGAGTGGTATGACTTTGAGAAGCCGTATTTCTCTGTTGCGGTCTTCGCCATTTGGGGGTCCATAGATGCAATTGCATATAAATCCACGTCCGGGTGGCTTAGCGAAGGGTAGACGACTGATGGTCATTGGTATCAGTTGATTCATCAGGTAAAGTGGTTGGGATGGAGGTATTTACCGGCAGCAGCACTTATCTTAGCGGTTGACAGGACACCTAGTTTAAGGGCCCTCTTAGAGGGCTGGGATCTGCCATGGAAAAGGGAGGATGTATATTGCCGAGCAAACTCACAGCCTTGCAAGAATAGGGCCATGTTGATTGATTAATTCGTCCCTGTCAGTGATGTACCAGACAGCCTGCATTCTCGATAGAGCTTTGCAGTCCAGTAGTTATATTGATACCTATCTGGCCTGACGTCACGCCCATGTCATAGTGTAGAGAAAGTGGTAAGTTTGCAGTGTGTTGATACTTCGACCCGTAGCTGGTAAACGGTCAATGCAATGGCTGTTGCAATTGGATTGGCTATATTGTGAGACGCCATGGGTATAATCCAGGAGGAGTAGCCTGCACCATTTGGCCGTCATTGGGTGCGATGAAGCTGGCCCCAAGCGGCCTCCTAAGTAGCCAAACAGACTGAACAGGTCCCCGCACCTGCATTGCATCGGCATATTAGCTATGTGACTCCCTTGTACTCCGTATACAGCTGTGAGTGGCTCGCCGTGAGAATCCGAGGGTTTGATGTTGATCAACTTGGTTCCCTATTACCGTCCGCGGATGCACCAGATTGCGTCCTGTGTATTGCAATGTACACCGTGAGTGACGAAAACAAGCAGCCACCAGGCCATCCAACCGTGGAGCACCATCGAGTAAATGGTCAGTCAGTCAACTGACTAGCTCACTGACTGCTGTCTGGTTACACTGCGGGCTGCCACGGTCTCCAGACAGGCTGACTACGCAGGCGGGCACTGCGCTGCTCGTACCGCACCGCCGCAAGGACGACCCGGCGTGCTGGTTCTTCGGACACATCGCCTGCAACTTACCAGGCTGGCGGGCGCTATTGGCTCGCCGGTGGGGATCCCGGGCATGGGTCGAGCGGGCGGACTGAGAGCTGCCTGGGCTAAGGAAGCTGCTTAGTGATGCTGGAAGTCTCGCGTGGTGGTGCCCCTGAACTCCCTCTGAGGATATTTGCCACAGCGCTGTCGACGATGGAGACAAGCAGTGGACGCCCACGTCTCTAGCTAGCTCACTGTGCGGCCTGTATCGAAGTAGATGGTAACCCTCCAGCGGTCAGGATCAAGGGTTAAAGGAGCTGCGAACTGGCCTCCAACCCGGCCAGCGAGTTGTGTTGAGACAAGGCAAGCCCAGGCCTGTTGGATTCAGCCCAAAAAGCAAACATAGACCAGTCTGCAGTGCAAACAAGGAAGAGGGAAAAAAAAGAAAGGCTCTCGCCTACGTGCTTTTTGCCCTGTCTCGACTTTTACGGGAGAGTGCTCACTGGGATTTTTCTTCGTCTTCCCCGAGATCGCTGCATTCTGCTCCTAGAATTTGATATCGGTCGTGCCAGTACTCCACAGCTTGAACAGTACACTTTGACGGCAAAGCAGCCAGCTATATTTTTTCTGGGGCCGTTTTTACGGGACAAGGAGCCTGTCTCGTATATACCCAGCATCTCGAAGGTTGCAGATAAGAAAGTATGCCATCCGAAAAGACTTTCTTTTGACCTTGGGAGTGCTCGATCTAATGCTCGAAGTTCAGGAACAATACCCGTCTTGAGTCTTTGCCCCATAATACATCATAATCCCCTCTGGAACAGTTCATATTTCAAGACACCATGAGTATGGACGATATAATCGAGGTGGACAGTGTAAGATGCCTGTTTATCGTGGCCTTCAGTCTGTATTGTGGTGCCTAACTCGGTGTAGGATAACGGAGACCCCCTTACGGAGTATGAAACCGATATTTGGTCACAATCTCACCAGTAAGTAAACCGCCGTCATTAAATCACTCTGAAAAGGAGCTGGGATCCTATGAATCAGACTGCTCTCTGCTAACGTCATCGTGTCCCTCGGCGCAGCGGAACTACATCTGTTTCTTCAACTGTATACAACTATAGGTGACTCCCCACGACAGTTCCATCCAATCTTGAGCTTTGCTAACTGTAGTCATTGTGTAACCACATAGATATGAAGTAGGTTTATGAACCTGGGTATACCTCGTCTTATGGGCCTGTTTGCAGTAGTTATCAGACTCGGCCGCAGAAGGAAATACCCCGTCCAGTCAGACATGGCTTCTAACTTGACTCTAGAATGAACGGCGATACCACGGCTATCGAGATGGAACATACCTTTTGGTTAGTTGCCAAGTATATCTGTCTATCCAAGTAGAGAGCCATGAACTTACTTATATACCCCTGGAAAGCCAAATGATAAGAGAGAACAGGATCGTATGGACTTAGTAAGTGTTCATTTTTATGAACCAGGAACAGCCTCCCCGTGTCTCCTTTACTGATTTGATACAAAGGAGCATAGGATATGTTACCTTCTTCTAAACGGCAAACTACATCGAGCTCCATTGAAGGGAAGTCCAGAGCGTGTGCTTGACCTAGGGACTGGGACTGGTACTTGGGCGTTTGAATTTGCGGAGTGAGATAACCAATTCAATTTCGCGTGAGGTATTGCCGGGATAGAAAGAAGCATTACTAACCTTACATATATCAAAGGCGCCATCCTCGCTGTGAGGTCCTAGGTATGTATGCATTGCAGCCTATATCAAACTGTGGTGGACGTTACTAACGCGGAACTAACCAGGGACGGATCTAAGTCCTATCCAAAGACTATGGTAAGAAAGCTAATAGAAAATAGAAAGGCATGCCGGTCAAATATACTTACTTACCTATATTTCTCAATTCAGGATGCCACGTAACTGCACATTCGAGATAGATGACTTTGAAGAGGAATGGCAATACCCCGAGTCATACCACTTCAGCTACATCCATGCCCGCAACCTGGTAGGCTCTATATCATATTATGATAAGTTCTTTGCACAGGCGTACGAAAATCTGCTCCCTGGCGGATATCTCGAAATGCAAAGTACCGAAGCAAACTTCTTTTCGGATGACGGAACTCGTGAAAGGGCAGTGACAGCCAACCTGTGGCAAAAATTACTAGTAAAAGGGTATCGGAAATTTGGCAAACCGTTGAACGTCGAACAAACCTGGGCGGAAAAGATGCGGGCTGCAGGATTTGTAGACGTTGTTGAAGAAGTAATTAAGGTGGGTGGACATGATGCAGTTGGTGATACACCAGGCTGGTGTTGTGCAAGTTGAGCTGATCTTCCTATGCACAGGTGCCTGTGGGACGATGGTCACCAGACCCAAAGATGAAAGAGATAGGTCACTATCAAGCAATGAATATTCGAGAATGGCTGGAGTCCGGCTCAGTGGCTGTTTTTACCCGGGTCCTTGGTTGGACCATGGAAGAGCTTGATGTACTTTTTACAGCTGTGCGGAACGACTTTACCGACCCTCAGTCACACCTCTATGTTCAGATGAGGTTTGTGTATGGTCGAAGGCCGGGCTAATCGAGCAGGTTCGGATGGGAGACCGAGTGAGCAGAGCAGGGAGCGTGTGCATTTGCAAGCAGATAATTCATTTCTTCTTTACACATCTATGTAGGTTGTAATTCATCTTTCTATCTTCACTTTCGTTCACATTCCTTTTTCCCTGGCCGTAGGGAAGGTAAACAGGTACCTCCAATTAAATCAAAATGATAGTAGAATAAAGACGTATATATGTAGGGGAGAAAATAAAATAAAAGGAAGAACGAAACCAAGGCCAAGCGAAGGGCGCAAGACGCAGACGATAGAATAAAAAGGGAGGAAGGCAAGAAGTCTATGCGCTAAAACTTTTGGCGACGGCTCGACTTCAAGTGATTAATATAGTGATCTTCGGTCACTTAAATTACGTACTGGAGTAAAGCAGGTTAGTTTGGTGTAAGCCAGTCATGAAAGATGCAGTTGGTGGACTTACGGGGATGAAGAGATAAGGGACCTGCTTCTCATACTCTGTCCATGCCTCTCCATACTTGGCGCGGCATCGCTGGATATCTCGGGTAGCACGATGGGTGATCATGGCAGCGAAGAAGACGGGGTAGAACCAAGGGAACGGGCTGGTGAATCCAGTAATCAAGCCCCAGTTGATGGCGAAGTAGAGATCACAAGTGTAGTGGATTTTTCGGGCATATCCGTCTGACACTAATGTTAGTAAAACTATAATAATAACAATGTTTTATTTGATCTCGCAAAACTTACACCAGCCATCGGCAAGGATGGTGTCCCCTTTCTTGGAGGTAATTGTCTTTGGGTTCTTGACGGTCTGCCATGGGAGCTGTGGGAAGGTGTTTCTGATCACAGCGAGGCCACGGGACTCCTGGCGGAATCTATTTTTCTGGCTGTTGGTGGTGTCCCAGACCCAGTAGACGAAAAGGTAGGCGATGTAGAGGAAGGCAAGGGCGTATTTGTTCCAGGCATAGGTTGAAGGATGGCGGTTGGCCAGGAAGACAGTGCAATGACAGTAGCTGAGCGGAACACCAGCCAAGTTCCAGAAGATAAGCATGAAGCCCCATTTTTCATAGTAAATGTCCCTAAAGAAGAAGTGTTAGATGCTATAGGAGAGCAACGTATTGTGCGCCAAAGGTTCATACCAAGTAGGGATGATCAATTCCTCTCCCTTTGAGCATGCGTTGGCATACAAAAAGTGTGCCATGAGGATGAAGCCGACTTCTCCAGAGACGTATCCGTAGAGCTCATACTGTCTGGCAGCAGCACCCATGGATAGAAGCAAAAGGATGTACCATGGCAGCCGGACCTCGAAGAACATCTTGAAGTCCAAGATCCCAAAAAGTCTCGGGTTCAATTCTGCGCCCATGAAGAAGTCGTAAATGGGGTAACCGGTCACGCGATGCTGAGCACCGCGGGCAATGGCAGAGAAGTAAGCGATGATAGAGATGACGAAGCCGGTGATGATGGCTACGCTCATGATCGGACCAAACTCATCCATGATGGTATACAGCTTGAACACTCCGGTGACATGAAGGATAACCGCCAGCACGATGGTGGTATAAAAGGACGAAACAGCCGAGCAGTAATAGGTCAACTGCTTTCCTCCCAGGTGATCCAACGGTCTGCCCTTGACGGTGATTCCGGGCAGATACATGTATGCGAGGGCCTCAAAGATGAAAAACCCCCAGTAGATCGTCCATGCCTTGAGTGACGGGAATGCGCCGGTATATACCAGGTTAAGGAGGTGTTGCAGGAAGTCGGACATGGACTGGCCCTCCGAGGGAGTTGGGAATGCGCCGTCGTAGTAAGTCGCTCCAATCCACATGTAGTACATCAGCGCAGGGAATCCTATCATCATCGCCGTCACGCCTGGAGTCCCTCCAAACTCGATGTGGTCGGTGATCTTGTGGTCTTCCGTAGTCTGCTCTGCTTCGGCTTTCTTCTCGCTGTGGCCGTTCGCAGCAGCACCGTTGACAGCGCCGTTAGCAGCGCCGTTGGAGCCATTGGCGGTCGAGACATGCTCCTCGACCTCTTCCCTGAGCTCCTCCGCCTTCTTTGCCGTGGCTCGCTTGCGAGGACTAGACATCTTCGGCTTCTCTATCGACTCTGCGAGATCTGAGCTCACTTCGGGCGTGGCAGAAGAGCGACTCCGTGTGATGCGCCGCGGAGTCTCGAGATATGCGTCCTGCTGCGCTTTTCTAGAGGTTTCCAATAGCACTAACCGTCAGCCGTGTACTTGTTTCTAATGATCTCCCTTTTGCTCTTGTCGAGGAGAAAAGAGATCGGGGAGGAACCAGCTGGCAGGCGTCGCAGGCCAGCTATTTATCTATCTATCGCGCCTCAGATTCCCACGGGGCGCTCTTGTCCTGCCGCAAAAAAGGCTTGGGGGCTACTTACTTAGGGGTCTTCCCGGTCTGTGATCGTGTCACCGTCATGGCGAAGCTGAAGTAACGGATACTTGAATATTCCACAGGGCGCTTCTGCAGCAGGAAAAAAAAAAAGGAACGGAACAGACGGTGTGCCAGCGAGAGATTAAGGGAAGGGGGAGAGAAAATAGGGGGCAAATCTGGCGGGGGAGAGCGAGAGCATTCGGGCCTGACCCTGCAGGGCTTGCTTGCCAACCAGAGCCCCTGAGGGTACCTGAAATTAAATGGAGAAGACCAGAGAGGCCCAAATATTCAGGCAGATCCTCAGCTTTTCTTTTTTTTTTCTTCTGCTTCCCTTTTCCTTCCCTTCTCCCTCTCTTTTCTTCTTCGTCCTTTTTATGACTTTTTATATTTTTTATTTTTCTGTGTTGTTTATCAGAGTAGAGCCGACTGTCCAATTGACTTTGCTGGATCCCGTCTTGACTATCTGGCTTGCAGCAAGCAACAAAGCTGGAGAATCCCTGGCAAGCGAATGCGAAGAGGGCTAAGATGCGCACTAGGCAGCGCTAGACAGTAAGCTAGCGACGATGCAGCTAGCCAGGGCGCGGCTGGGCGTTGTTTGTTTATATCGACTGGACGGCTACTGGAAGATAGATGTACGTAGGACGGAGGCCGCGTTGCCATTTCACTGTCTGTTTGATGTTTGATTTATTATATACGGATGCAAACCTGTCTCTGTCGACAGACGGATTCTATTAACATTTGCGAGAATGAACCAGGAGATGAGGCTCAGAAGAAATACCCCAGAAAGGCTGAATCTGCCATTTATCACCAAAGTAGGATAGCAAAGATACTGAAGGGTTGGTTAGTATTATTTGAAGCGAGCTGACACGTAGCCAGGCAGGCCTCGTGCGAACAGCTACGCTGCTCGTCGTGCGTTGGTAGACATCAGTGTGATCTTCTTAGCCTTCTTCTTCTTACCCGGTGTGGCACCGGGTGTGTGCTTACCAGTCCCGCTACTATTGCCACTATTGGAGTTGGTGCCATGCATGATGAGCTCCCGCTGCTCGGCCAGGAGCTCTGCCTCCCAGTCTTGAAGCCAGCCATCGTCATGGTTGGGAGGGTAGGGCTCCCGACTCGAACTGGCAGTGGGGGAGCTGGATTCGACCACAGCTGTACCCCATACTGTCCGGCGGGAAGGGGGGCTGTTCGACGGCGTTGCTAGAGCCGCAAACGACTGGTGGTTCTGGTTGTTGCGGCTCTGCAAAGAGGACCATGGAGGCGAGGCGGTGGAAACACTGGTGTCTACATGGTCGTCGTTGGCGGCGGCCTGGCTGCTTGCGCCGGGGCCAAGAGGCTGGAAGTCACTAGCGCTGAAGGGTCGCTCACTAGGAGACGACAGGCTGGACCTCTTCCGTCGGTTAGCTCCTGCTAGCCGCTTCTCATCTTCCTCCCGTTCAGCACGGATACGCTCTTTCTCTTCACGGGCTGCCTTCTCGCGATTTCGCTTCCGGCGGCGTTCAATGTCGACGCTGAATTTCTCAAGAACGCTGGGGCTGACCAGGTCGGTCCAGTCGCATTCTAGAAAGGTCAGCTCGCAGCCATGGGGTAGATGGCTTAGATACTTGGCACGCTTGCGCAGGTCATCGTCCATGATATGGCCTGTCGATATGTGCTCGACTCGGGGTAGTATGGTGGATGGGAACAGTGAGAAGTCGCCAAACGCAGATTTTAGAATTCGTATGTCAAGAGACGAGAGATAGAAATGGGGCAGAGCTTGGTAGAAATAGTACGGCACATCAGGAGGGTGGCCCCTTTCCGATTCGTTGGCGGTCGAGTGGGATGTCCTTTCATCCGATGATGGAGCTGATTGCTTGGTATGCGGCTGATGGTGTATATCAAGCTTAGACACCCTAGACGAGATATCCTCAACTTCACCTGCGTTTGCTGCTGCATTGTTGCTGGGTGTCGTATCATGCCCTGAATGTGATGATGTTCCAGGCAAATGCGAAGCCGGGGTCTTTTTTGTATGTGGTGAGGTAGATAGAGATAGATCCTGTTCATGCTTGTCCTCTTTTCCGTCATTTCTATGGAAATGAGGCGGGTTACCAATTCCCTTGATCTTTTCTTTGGCTTCTCTAATGGCAGCCATGGCTTTCTGGGTCCATGTTGAGTCCTGCCCAAAAAGAAGCTCGTCTTCCTGTTCTTGCTTCTCAAGAGCCTCGAGCTCGGCATCATACTGAGATATCATGTACTCCTCTCCGCCCTTCATGAACCGTGCATAGTCGGTTACCTCCGCTGCATTATACCACGGGAGATCGTCCTCGGGTCCGTGAGGGTGTCGGTCGGCCCCATCCCGGGGAAGTGCAAGAGTGCTGCCAGGGTGACGCATGACTAGCCTGAGAAAGACATCCCCGCCTTCCATCAACGTATCGATCTGCTGGCCGGAGTACCACCGTACACATCTAGTCTCGGACATGTAAACCGGATCCCAGCATATTGGGCATTTCTTCCATCTCGCCTTTTTGACAGGAGGTGCATCCTGGTCATCGACAGTGTGTAGAAAGCGGATAAGACAAGGCAGACAGAATATATGTCCACATTTGGCCATCCGTGGAGCTACGGGAACACAGAGACAGATGGGACAGCTGGTGGGCTGGGAGGACGACGTCGACACCAACACCTGCAGCACAGTGTCCCAATCCAAGTGGACGTCTGCATTTGTGGCCTGTGCATGGTAATTCTTCTTTGGGTTCACTATAAACCGGTAGTTTGCATTGACGTATCTGCATGGTTAACCGTTCAGTCAGCCTGTCTCGGTCCCTGACATTTGTGTTGTTGCTGTGCCGGAGTTTAGGGGGGTTTAGCCGTACCTCGCTTTATCAACACGGTGTGAGCCGGAGTGGTAGGTTACGTGACGATGGGGCCGGAAAGGAGATGAGTGAGGCCGTGGAGGTAGCGAAAAGTTCATCAAGTGAGTGATAGAGGTTTGGCCTTTTCTGCTGGAAGTTGACCTCATGGCTGCCTACATCTTGAGTCAGTCGGGGGGGGGTTTGTCTTCTGGATTAACGATCTCAGAACAAAGGACAATGAAGACACGCACGGCTTCAGCAATAGCATCCTCGTCCACCAGACGAGGTTTCCGCTGACGCTTGTGGTTCGCCTTCTTCGACTGGTTGTTCCTGGCCGAAGCTAGGTTGCTGGACGACTGGCCTCCCACGAGCGGCCCCGAGACACGACGAGCTGGTGAGTCCGGCCCAAACGAGTGTGACTGCGACGGCGGATGGTATGACACCGGCTGGCTGGAGGATCCGGTCAGTTTAGATGGCGCAGAGGACTGTCCTGGGCCTGCCGACATTGTTTGCGCCTATCCGGGGGGTTTGTCTCCCAGCTCCGGCCTGACGATGACGCTGAAGCTGCCAGGACGGGCCCCGTCATGTCACTGCCGCCTCTGCCTCCCTAAAAGACGCCGACGCCGTGTAGACTCAGGTCGACAACAACAACTGAAGATGCACGCAGAAAGGGTGGGAAGGTCGCTCTTCGTCTTCTCCGTCTCCGTCTCACGACGTCGTCGTCGTCGTCTTCGCCGTCGTCTCCATCGCGGCTTTTCAACCACCACGAAGGGAAGAGGGGCGAACCCGAGGATGCAAACAGGACAAACACAGCGCAAACCTGCCGCAACGCCAAAGAAAAAGAGCAGCAAGCGGCCTTCCTCCTCTCCGTTCTATAAGAAAGGGCCTTAAGAGAGGCCTGCAAAACCGTCCGTAGCGAGCTGGCGACACCCATTGGCCCCCTTCTACGGCCTCGTCTCGTCCGATCAAGTCCGTCTCTCTCTCTCCCTCCTTCGCCTTCTCTCTCTCGCCGTCTCTCTCTCGCTGCCCAACGCGAGCTTCGCCTGGCTGGCGCTGTGGTCCCGTGACCTTATCCTTGCTCGGGGGGACAAAATTTCCCTTTTTGGGAATTCTCAACGACCTCAAACCGAAAAAGCGACGCCGCAAAAAGAGAGCTTTCGATCTCCAGACAACATTCCTGCCCGCCCACGCCCGGTAGAGCGAGATACCTACGAGCGCCTGCGGCTGCCGACGTCTGCGAGTGCTGCTCGTCCTGCGCTGGCCGTTGCCCGTCGTCTGTGAGTTGTGTGGAATATTATTTTTTTTTTAGTGGAGCGTGGGCGAGCCAGCGATGAGAATCACAAAATACCTGACTAACCTCACACTCTCAGCGACCAGATTCCCTTTGACCAACGGCCAACCGCCATTCACTGCTCGACCGACAGACGGGCTCCTCGATAATCTGATAAGAGTGTCGCCTTCTGCCCGCGAGAACTGGCCTGTCTGGTCGACTACTATGCATGGCGTCCAAGCAGAGCGCATTTTGACAGCCAGTCAAGCCGCCTCCGAGAACCGCTGAAAGGGACCATAGGAAAGAAAAAAAAACTCCAAGACACCACTGGTCCTTTTGTGCCCGCGATGAACCATCATCCCCCTCCTCTGCCGCATGGGCAGCCTCCCATGCCCCCTCCGCGGCGGCAGCATGAGGTGCCGTACTCGTCCGCGCCGCCCAACGTCAGGTCGCCCGGCTACATGGCCTACCACCACCCCCATCCGCACCCGCACGCACTTGGCCATTCACACGGACATGCTCACGCTCACGCTCACGCCCACGGGCCAGTACCCATGCCGCCGCCGTACGGACCCCAGAACTTCCAGAACTGGTACCCGTACCAGCAGATGCCTCCTCACCCTCCTCCAATGCAGCCTTACCCCCAGTATAATACCCCGTTGATTGTTTGCTCATATCCTCGGCCCCAACCCCCGAACCACGCACCACCTCCACCACACATGTCTCCAGCCCTCCGGACACAGTCCAGCACTCCCATTACATCTCACCCGTCGGCTTTCTCGCCCACGCCTCCCGTTTCCCTGTCTACACCGGCAATCACCGAGCCGCAGGAGGATCAGTCTGCGCAGTATTCTCTAACCCGCTCTGGCAGTGAAGTGGGCAGCAATGCCTCAACCAATGCTTCTACCAACAACAGTGCACGCCCTACACCCCCTCCAATCACCGCCAGAAGACCAGAGGCTCGGTCAGGCGTAAGACAGGTATTCCAACCTCCAGTGAGTTCCGGTTCTTTGTCTTGCAGACCCTCTATTTTTCTTCAAACGAAAAAATTGGCAAGCTGTAATTATATCAATGCAGTTACTGACAGGTGCTTTCCCTACTAATAGTTACCTTGGCTTTCCGTTCCAGAGGCTCCCTTTCCTTCCAAGCCTCCACGACGCCGCCGTAAGAACCGTGTTACTCAACCTTCTTCCCTCGCCGTAGAATTGCCTTCAAAGGACGAGAATGAAACTGAAGACACCGAACCTCAGGGAAATGACGCTGAAGACCAACCAGCTGAGCCAGCTTCTGTGGCCCAATCCGAAGTAGATACTCCGTCTCTGCCCTCAGCCACCGTCGCTCAACAAACTCCAGCACACGCCCGCCAGGCTAGCACTACAAGAGCAGGGGTTCCGGTAGTTCCCGTTGTTCCATTAGTTTCCCAAAGCCCATCAGCTTCCAAGCAATCCAAATCTTCAGCTCAGCCTACTCCTGAGAAAGCGGGTACAACCGAGGCAGCAGCTCCAACAGTCATTGAAAACGGACATGGTCCAACCGAGGAAGAATCACAGCCGCCAGCTTCCTCCGAGACTACCAGCAACACAACCCCGTCTCCAGCACCGCAACGGGCTGCCCCAAAATCTTGGGCTGATCTTGTTCGTTCAAAGGCCGCTGCAAAACAATCAACTGCTGCTTCTCCTCAAGCTGGTGCCTTGGCGCTCACCCGGGGTGAATCCTTGGCTGAAGCACTCAACAGCTTTGGTTCGAATGTTGATCAGTATAGCGAAAAAATTGCTTTCTTAGAACCTCGTGGCCTTGTAAATACGGGAAATATGTGCTATATGAATTCTGTAAGTCGCCCTCCTGTGACACTCATATCAAATCAACCAGCACTGACAATCCTACTCAGATCCTACAAGTTTTAATCTTTTGCGTTCCGTTTTATGAATTTCTTGATCAGATTGGCCGTCGTGCGGCCCATAGCTTCAAAAGTGACAGCCCTTTAGTGGATGCTATGTAAGCTGTGCTCTGTCTGCTCTGACTAGATATTTCTGCTCCCTGTGCTAATATACTCTTTAGGATTATGTTTCTACGGGAATTCAGGGTTATTGATGCGGCATCTTCGGTGGAAAAATTAAGGCTTCGGTTGAAACAAAACGAATTGGAGGAGTACGGCGAATCTTTTATTCCAGAATATGTTTATCAAGTTATTCGACATCTCCCGCGTTTTAGGGACATGAGAGTAAGTTTGGCCCTTGCTTTTTATAGGCCCGTCAGTTTCGTTAACTCCGTCATAGCGCGGTCATCAGCAAGATGCCCAGGAATTCCTTGGCTTCCTTCTCGAAGAGCTCCATGATGAATGCCTCTTGGCCACTAAAAATGCCATGGCAGACAAGTCTGACGTTTCTACTTCGTCTGATGTGGATGCTCATTCCATCGCAGATGATTCTACTGGTGACGGCTGGCTGGAGGTTGGCCACAAACAGAAAGCATCGGTCACCAGGTCGTCCGGTGATAGTTCTGGGGAATCGCCCATTACACGTATTTTCAGCGGTAAAATCCGATCAGAGTTCAGGGTGCCTGGAAACAAAAACTCGGTAACTCTCGAACCTTATCAGTCCCTTCAGCTTGACATTGGATCCCCTCAGGTCAACAACATTATCGACGCACTCAAGGGCCTTACCAAGCCCGAAACCATGCATGGAGATTTCCAATCATCCCGTGGACCCAAAGTCAATGCTACCAAACAAGTCTTCATTGAGAATCTACCCCCTGTCCTCATCCTTCACCTCAAGCGTTTCCAGTATGATAACGTCACCAATGGCACGCAAAAGATCTGGAAGAAGATTGGATACCCACTTGAACTGGAGATACCCAAGGAGGTCTTTCCCCCACACCGCCGCAATGCCCTTTCTGCCCAGAACGGCAGCCTCCCCAAATACCGCCTCATTGGAGTTATCTATCATCATGGCAAGAGCGCAAGTGGAGGGCATTACACAGTTGAAGTCCGCCGGCAGGATGGACGTGAATGGGTCCGTTTTGACGACACCTACATCCGCCGCGTACGAAGTGAAGAAGTGGCCTTTGGCGGTAGTGAAGAGGATCCAAAACTGCTCTCTGCCGCCCTTGAGCGCCACAATAATTCTAGTGACCAAACTTCCAGCAACAACATCTATGACCAATTTGATGCTGACGAGCAAGACCACTCAGATAACGGGAGAGGTTGGAGCCAAGTCAATGGCTCTGGCTCAGGCAGCCACTCTAGGCAAAAATCCATGGCCGCCGCTGCCGCCGCTGCTGCTGCTGCTAGCGGTAATGCCTCGCCTAAAGCCGACTCCGGAAAAGGCACCCCCACAGCTTCCAGCAGCGCCCGTTTCGGCGCTTCTCGAGATAACAAAGTTGCATATCTCCTGTTTTACCAGCGTATTCACAGCGCTTAAGCGAATTTTAGCGTCACTGAAACAAAAAATCTACCCAAAGAACGATAAATGCACGCTTTGCTTTATACTAACCACCATTTACTACAACTAACACCCATGCGATACTATTATATTAGTATTACTAACTCTTTTCAAAAGAAACCCCTCAAATCATCAAAATAGCCCCTGCTTATTTGTATTACTACATATGTTCTGCACATATCTGCTTGTGTATAGCTTGTGGCAGGATATATATGGTGCACAAAATGCACGGGATTCTGGCTCTACCCAGTCTTTTCTTACTTGTCCAACCAAAAAACCCGCCCTTTACCCTCAGACTCCTGACCATCAGCTTACCCTATCCTTCCCCTCCGCCTTATGAACTTCTCAGTTCCTCTGTGTCTTCTCAATCCGCCTACCTACCTCCTTTCTACCCGCATTGCTTCTCTTATATCACCTCATGTATTGAGAAACGTATCAGCAAAAAAAAGGGGTTCCTGTTCTAGCTTTATCTTCTCACTTCTCCAGCTATCAAGCTACACCGAATAATTAAACCATTACTCGTAAGCCTGTACATTAACGGCAGTGACTTCTCTGCGCAATGGATATGTATGTGTGCACAGCCCAGGTAGCTGTCGGTAGGTCTAAAAGCGGCGTTTGATTTGGAGACCAGCAAGTTAACTAAACTCCATCAACACCAACTAGTTAACTCTATGAGACTACAACATAGCTCGCAGCTCCAGTGGCAGCGCTGATTGAGATCTAGCCAGGTGGCTCTAGTTAAATAGCGAGATTCAGTAACTCCCGCCTGCAGTCGCAATCATGCTAGTAAAGGAATCTACCCATGATGTGAAGACGACTGTCTCCGGAGAGGGGCAGATGAGTGAGTCTCTAACCCGCCTCCTCTGGCATCCATTAGCTAGCAAGGCCACCGCTAACACGAGCATTATAGGAATATACGTCTTCCATCCCACTATCCCAGGCTATCCCAGTGCAAAGTTCCCCGGAGTAGTAGTCTTCAGCGAGATATACCAAGGTATCTGTCAAATCGAACCGCGAAACGCTCCATTCTAATGCCGTATGTTTTAGTTACTGGCCCGGTTGCACGGTTTGCACGCATGATAGCTGGCCAGGGATATATCTGTGCTGCACCATCTAGCTACCATGAATTCACCGGCCCCGAGCCACTGCAGTACAATGCCGAGGATACAGATAACGGCAATAAATGGAAGATCACCAAGGTAAGTGTGTACCGTTTGCAATATCTATGAGTTTCTCGATTAACTTTAACGGCTACTACAATAATGTAGAAACTAGCTGCGTATGATGAGGATGCTCGTCTTTGCGTGGACTACCTGCTCTCCCTACCTACTTGTAACGGTCGCGTGGGTGCCACTGGAATGTGCCTGGGAGGCCATCTAGCGTACAGATGTGCACTCGACTCACGTATCCAGGCTGCCGTGTGTTACTTTGCAACAGATATCCACAGTCATTCGCTTGGAGAAGGGAAGAATGATGACTCTCTTCAGCGAGCAGGTGATATCAAAGGGGAACTGGTAATGGTATGTCTGGTAGCCATCAAATTTTTTTTGGTTTCTATTATAGCTGTAGAGGTGCTCAAGAGTAGCTGCTAACCACCCTTGCATAGATCTTCGGCAAGAATGACAACCACGTCCCAGCGCCAGGTCGAGATTTGATTCGTAGCACCCTGCATGAGAAGGGTGTCTGCTTCAGCTTCTATGAAGCTGCTTGGGCACAGCGTATGTCACAGCTAACTATCTATCCCCCAGACTGCAGCAGCCATTATGTACCTCCTACGGAGAATTAGGTTGGCTGACCATCCTCAAAAGATGCATTTATCAGGGACGAGCTAAGCAAAGGTCGGTATGACCCAGCACTGACCAAGGTGTGCGCCGAGATGATGTTTGAAGTCTTTGGGCGTACTTTGAAAGTTGAGCTAGGCGAGGGAGACGGCAAGGAACTCGTTGTTGAAAACGTGTGCTAGGAGGGCGCTACGTGGGCCAAGAAGAAGCGAGACGACTGCTGTATGGCTTGCTACCGACGCCACGAGCGAAAATAGAGGCTGATATCTAACTTACTATGGAGTACTCTGAGCACAGCCGTTTGTAGCGTTGACGACTAGCTGGTATGGCAACTCCCGCCCCAAGCGATGGAAATTGGAAATTGTATCATGGTACTCTGTACTCCGTACAGACACATTGAATGTCGAGTTACCTGCCTGTCTTGCCATCTTCTTGTCTTTGTAGAGAGTCAAAAGGCCCAGGGGGATTTCGATCTTCTCGTATCGATGCAGGTTAAGCATGTAACTAGCATCTCGCATCTTGCGTCCCGCACCAACGTCGAGCTTACCCTCATTCCTCGAATTAAGGACCTTTTAACTCCTCTGCTGAGTTACCGTACTGGGTAGCTCCGAAGTTTCATCGATAGCACCGCCCTGGCCTCCAGCTGTTTCATGCATAGACTCCCTGGCCCTGGATTCCATTTCCTCCTCCCTCCCTCCCTCTCTTTTGCTCCGGGCTCCGAACCACGGCTGGCCGTCGTCTCTACTTATACACTTGCTTCGTCCTGCTGCCGGTTCCCTCTTCCTCGCCGTCCTCGCCGTCCTCTCCATAAACAAACATCTTTGTCATCTCCGCCATGCCATGCATGATCAACCTGCTGCAGGCACCTTGCTGGACTGATGTATCATCTGTAAGGCTGTGACAACGCAAGGAACCCGCGGATCGTACCGTCGCGTATCAGCCCGGCAGGTAAATTACGCTTCTTGACTCCAGGACAGGCCTTGGCTCCACTCACTGCCCTGCAAAGCCACCGCCATCTCGGCCTGTCCCGCCGTCTGATTGGCCAGAAATTAGCCGTGCCTGGGTGCTTGATACACCGCCGTGACAATACCTGATACAGCAGTACCTCGTCACCGCGATACAGCGGAACTGCATCCAAAAAATACGTCCCCTGAAACGCAAAAAAACACATCGACCCTCTGAGAAACACTTCTTCTGCTGCGTCTTTTCTGCTTCTCGACATCGCCCGCCGTCGTCGCCAGCGTCTTCCTTCTCGTGCTGCTTGTTGGGCTCCGTGATGGTGACAGGGAAAGGTGATCGATGTTCCCGCCCTTATCGATCGATCGCAGGCTAGTCTCAGCGTTACCCAGGAAAGAGAAAAAGGAAGCAGACCGAAGCTTGCTGTGGCGTACCAGGAAGTGGACTCTCTCCACCAGGCACAACTCCATCTGACATTTCTTCCTCCCTCTTGTCAACAACCTCCCAGCCTGCCACATCTCGCACAGAGACTCCAAGACACCGACAACCTCAACCTCGCCCTCGAGACATTCGACAGCGCCATCTTCCTCGCTGCGACACCTTTCGCACCGCCGAATTCCTGCACTTCGAAGTCCGTCCCCCCCAGCCAGGCTGTTGAGCGCTTGGGTTGGCTATTATCGAAATCCCTCGCCTTATCACACCGACCGGCAACTCCACATCAAGACTGAATACCAGGAAAACCTCGGCTTCTTGCCTTTTTGCTTGCTGAACTGCCATTGCTGGCTTCTATCGACTGTCGCTACATTCTTGTGTTTGCCGGGGGAGGAAAAGACGCATAGGTTCGCCAGGGCAGAAAGAGTCCCATCATGGGGTCGACGCAGTTTGGCAAGTTTCACGTACGCACACCGGACCTCACCTTGTTACTTCCTCCGGTACTGCTCTGGACAGCGCTGGAGCGTTAGCGCCCCGGAACATCATGATGAATTGCTGCGAGGACATGGCGCTGACTTGGGGATATAGGATTTCTGCCGGGACTCGACACTTCCAGTGTGCAATGTATGTTTCTGGCCTTGGCCCTTATTGACCTGAAGTGGCAGATTATATACCATGTACTGACAGCCATGACAGCTCTTCATCCGGGACAATCAACCACCAAATGAAAAGTACGGCGGGTGTGCCTTGACGGGAATCAATCTTAGCAGTGGTCGACATGTCGGAAACTTGGGTACGGCTACGATATATATCCCCTTGAAAGCTATCCATGGTCGAGCATCATGACTTACCAGGTCCAATTAGGTTCCATATTACTTTGCTTCATCGCCATCTTCTCAACACTGTTCTTAATATGGCGGTCGGAAAGAAAAAGGGCTGCAGTCGGTCGAAGGTGAGGCCTTTTTCTTATTTTTTATTTTTATTTTTTTTTTTTTGTTGGATCGTCAGAGTTTTTGAATCTCGACTAACTGTGAATGGCAGGGAAATGCAACTGTTCCTGATCGGCTTCATCATCATTTCTATTTGCGAGATCTTTTCAGTCGGCGCTTTCCCACTCAGCGACTCTATTAGAAAGGTATATATCTCCCTCTCAGATATGTTCGAATTGCTTTCCACTGATTATTGTGATTCATATAGGGCTTTTCCGCGGCTCATGTTGCTGCCATTTGTGCCACTGCCTGGCTGCTCCTTCTCAATGCCATTGTCGGTTACCAGCTCATTGATGATGGTACCGCCGTCTCACTTGGTCTTCTCGTCACCTCAGCTCTCATCCTCTTCGTCGGCACTGGGTACATTGCCCTCGATACCGCCTTTGCATGGACAGGCCGCTTTCAATCCAGCCATCGCGCCCCCAACCAAAATATAGGATTGTACATTCTGTACCTTCTTTTCCCACTAATTTGCATAGTCGGATTCTTCCTTCTCGAGACCTTCTTGGTTGTCAAGGTGCTCAAGGAGAAGAGACCCATGCGTAAGTTACTGTCTAGCTGTGTCGACCTCATAACCCAGGCTAATTTCCACTAGTATACCTTTCTATTGCTGGCCTTCTCTTTGCTCTGAGTCAGATTTTCCAATTCGTCATTAGCACACACCTCTGCAATGCCACCGACGGAAAAATCAACGGCGCCTTCTTTGAGACCCTTTTCAACTTTGGTGCCGTCATCATGGTGTGGGTTTTCTGGAGCAGCATTACTGAAGACGACTGGCCAATGAACGTTAACGGAGCATACAGTTAAATTCCGACCTGTCATGCCTTTCTCGAATTAACGGATATCGCTTATTACTTACGAGTGAGATGCCGACAAAGATATCCCTTGACGTTTCGAACCGGAAGAAGCAAATGAATGAACAGAATGAAGTATTTGAATATTACGAGAGACGTGAAAGTAAAGAAGGAAAAAAGAAAAAAAAAAAAACCCAGAACAGGCGTTGGGTAATTGCCGAATGTTCGAATTTTGTCTCATCTCTTTTTCTGTTTATTATATCTACAGACCATGTTCTATCGCAAGATGTTTGAAATGGCCCCATATACCCCCCATACCGTGTCCCTACTTGCTGACGTCTACATACCCAACACCTCCACGCATTCCTTTTCTATCTTTATGCTCTCCCCCCATCCCCTTATCCTTTTCTACTCATCAATAGTTTAATTGATGCCCAAACCACTCATACCACTTCATGTGGAATGTTAATCTTATAATTTTAACCCTCACCCTAGCACCCTTCTCCCTTACCTCAATATCCCCTACGTGGCAACTATTTTTAGCTCCTGCTTTATGATACTCACTTTGGTTTTAGTGTACGCTGGTTCAATTTCCTCTACTGCTTTACGTTCCTACACTGTTTCAGTCAAATATGTCTTTCTGCGTTGATGAATCTCCTTGATATTATTTTCCTTGCTTTTCTCAGTTATTTTAATTTCCTTTTCTCGTCTTTGTCTCGCGCTCCTAGCTTGTTTAACTGCTTTCTCTGTTGGTTCCATCGTCAGGTATATACCTGTACTAGCTAGTATTGTTGACGTATATAGAATAAACAGACTTATAAATTGGCTGGCTTCCCCCTTCCCAGACCCCTCCCATTTACTCAGTCTTTTGTCTGCCAAATACGCCCATGCCAAACCAGTACTTCCAATGACACCAGGCCGGCCACAGACATACTGTTTCGATATTATTTCCTGCCGGGTCAAACACGAACGCAGCGTAGTAGAATCGTGTATACTGAGGCCGTACACCAGGACCACCATTCGATTTTCCACCATGCTTCAGCGCAGCATCATAAAATGCATGAACAAGTTCTCGATCTATATTATGGTAGAACGTTAGAACCTGCCCATTCGCATATACCGACCTCATAAAAAAAAATAGAAGTATCACTTACTCCCCGTGCTGAACGCAATATGTGTACTACCAAACACAACATCCTTGCTGCCAGCAGGGACATCAACACCGGCACTTGAACTAGGCACGGCGTTCGAAGAGATCCAGAACTCCGGATAGTACACGCCCATGCCAACTACTTTTGGATGGGGCCGGAGGTGCTCTTTGAACCCGAGGGGAGCTAGAGCAGCTAGGTAGAAAGAGACCGTCTCCTCGAACTTGTCATCTGGGACTGTCAGACCAACGTGTGAGAAGCCCATTGTGTCTGTTTGAGCATTGATTCAATGATAGTAAGTATAACTTGCTTGATTCCCTAGCCCAGGCTACAGGAGATTTCGTGTCGACTTTTATACCTTCGAGTCGAGCATCAACGCTAGCGAAAGAAGGTTTGGTTGCCTAGCTGGATGCTTAATATAGCCCGTTCTGGATTGGTCTGGCAGAAGCTTGCTCTCTGGGATATTTTTATGACGAGCCTGAGGGATCTTGGGGGGAAAGGCCTCGATTGATTGAACAAAGTACAGGTTGTGGTATACATTAGTTAGATCCGTAGGAAAAGGGGTTATTAAGTGAATGCGCAGGACCAGAGGGAACAAAAAACAATACAATAATACGCTCTAACTGGCGTGCCTCATAAAAGACATGAAGGTCGCTCGTCGTTGAAAAACAAAGCTGCAAGTCCACAACCGCGGAAGAAAGCACAATATAGTTGCATGCATATTCAAATTTGTCAGAGTAACGGGTAGAAAAGGGTCTCTCTTGATCTACAGTCTAACCTTCACATCAACACACGGGAGAGTCCACTCCCTGCGTCCCAGCAAACTCCTGAACCACTCGAGGCCAATACCAGTCCATTCTGGTTCGCTGGCACTCAATGATGCGTTCGGCATGACACGGCGTTTTGCTTCTTCAAACGCAGCCCCCATCAGAGCAGTGGCTGTTGTATTCACGGTATCAAGCACATACCCGGTCAACTCGCTGGAAGTCGAGTTAAGAGCCGGAGTCGTCGCAGTTGCGTTCATCGTCGGGGCTGCTACTGGCAAATGAGCGAAGCGCGGGGCAAACCAATCTGCCTTGAGGTCAAAGAAGCAGCGGTCCGACCAGTGACATGATGAGATGAACAGGATCAGAAGGAGGGCAGAGCAGTATATACAGGGTCGATGGAGGATGTAAGTGAGGGTGACGAAGGAGAGGATAAACAGAGGGCTTGCGTTCGTTGGAATGAAAAGGAGGGGAAGCCAGCTGTGCAATATAGGTTAGCCGTCGTCGTTCCAAGGCCGTCCCATAGAGGGCTCCAAGCATACGGGATATCTCTGCATACCTTCTAAGACAAAACATATTTGGATATCGGGGTCGCCAGCCAGTAGAAAGGAACCGATGCCGTTATCGAGCAGGAGTGAATCCTTTGGTTAGCAGCTCACCATCGGATGTTGCAGCTGTCGCTTTCTCTTCTCTCTTTTTTCTTCTCTTCTTCTTCTTCTTCTTTTCAATTCTGCCTCTTCCTGGGCCTTGATCCTATATTCCAGTCTTCTCTCTCTCTATTTCTCTCTTTCTCTCTCGCTCTCGCTCTCGCTCTCGATCCCCGGCAGCATCACCGTCCGTTGCAACGTCCAAGTCGTTTCTTTTCTTTTCTTTTCTCGCCTGCCAACTTTCTAAGTCCGAAACGGCCGCTGACTAAGCTAGTCCTGCAAACAGTGCAAACAGCTCGACCGCCAACTAAAACCGACCAAATTATTATTATTTTTGCTTCTTCAACCTCCAACCTCCAACTTCACTTCTTCTTCTTCGCCTTCATCTCCTTCATCCCGTTCAATTCGCCTCCCTCTCTCTTCCGTTTTCTCTTCTCCTTTCGTTAGAATTGCATTAGCACGGTTGCCTGCCAGCTTGGTGTCGCGTTTTTCCTTCTCCCTTTCTCGCCTTTCCTTACAACCTGGTCCCGGGTAGCTTGAGCTATCGTCGCTCCTTGCCATGGCTGGTTCCGGCTCCCCTGCAGACTTGCAAGCTCTGCTCGCGAGAATAAAACCTCGCCCGTCTCCTAGCGGACCCTCTTATGAGAGCCAGTCATCCTTTTATACTGGGCAGTTTGCTCAGCACCAGCACCAGCAACGGAGCGGGGGATCGCCTGGCATCACGTCGCCTACGCAGTTCAGCTATGCCGCGCCATACGCTTCCTCGCCCATCCTTAGCCCTCCACCCCCTTCCAACCCCCCTCATCATGGATCGGACGTGATAAGCCCCAACAGTTCCACCCCGCAGAGCGAGGCTAATCAGCAACCTATGAGCACCGATCGTGCCAACTTGCTCAAATTGCTGAAATTTAGCCAGCCTCCAGGTGGACAGAGCTCCAACCCGCCAGCCGAGACGGGACTCCCATCCGGCACCCCAGCGCGTGTTGAACCAATTGGGCATGATGGTGCTAACGGTAATGGTCTCCGTATGCCTGCTCAGCGCAACATTTCAGCTTCTGACATACTCGCCTCCCTCCGTGGTCCACCGACTTGTGCTGCTTCTCCTCCTCCAGGCCCGTCATCTGCTGTGCCAGGGAGACACAGCCCAGCTGAAAAGCCGGGTCTGGCTCCTACGCCTTCTGGGGACGCAACTCAGGAAATGCTGCTGAGGTTGTTGAACCAGCCACCCGCTCAAAGTCCAAAGGGGGGCGATTTAACATCTGCTCCTCAAACCTCGGGTCAAGCTATGAATAACACCAATACCAGTAATGTTCCAGCGCATCTCTCCAGCTCTTCGGCCGAGGAACGTAAAGATTCTTCGGCCCGGAATTTTGGCTCGGCTGATGCCATCGAGGTTACTCAATTTGATCCGTTGCAACCCAAAGCAGCAAACAAAGGAACCATCTTCAGCCATGTTAACCCTTTCGAGCACCTTGCCGCGGCATCTTCGAGGAATCGGTCCCCGAACAGCCAGCCGCAGTCCGGCCGTGCTAGCCCCTCGGTTGGAACTGGTCTAGCAGGAAAGGATATTCCAAAAGCCAAGAGCAATTCACCCGAGGCTCCGAAGTCTTCTGTTGCTCAGCCTACACCAGAGAAAGTCCAAGGGCAGCAAACTGCGACCCCTGGGCCCAATGAATCTACCGATCAGGACAAAAGAGGGGTTTCCACTCCGGAAATTGCTGAAGGGGTTGAAGGCACACCAGTCGCTATCTCAGGTGCTAAAGTGGAGAAATCTACACCAGTACCTGAGAAGCTCACCGCTGAGCCTTCTGCTCCTGGAAGTGATATCCCAGGAAATGCTACGGCCAACTCGCACAAACTTATGCATGGTGCCTTAGAGCCTCCAGAGGAGGAAGATACCAAGAAACCTGCTAAAGTTGTAACTATTTCCGGTGACGACGAGACTGTTAAAAATACCAAATTGGAGACTAAGAACGAAAATGTGGCGGATAACTGGGAGACGGAGGCGGAGACTGACCACATTGTCCCCGTCTACAACTTCCCGTTGAAGCCTTTTGTATCCATTACGTGGAAGACAAATTTGAAACCCGTTGGCATTCGTGACGATGGAGTGATGGATATTGCCCGCTTGAAGAAAGGATTTGACCAACTTGATCGTTCACTCACTTCAGCAACTTCTGAATATATCGTTTATGCTCTTGCGAAAAACGGCGGAGCCCGTATCATTCGCCAGGATGATGGTCATGACCGACAGATCTTCCGCTCAACCAATGACAGAATGTTTAACGTCTCCGTAGCCCAGGCACCGCCCGGTTCTGCTATCAAAGAGCAGGCTTTCCTTGGTATCGGCGTTAGCGGCTCCGTTTACTGGACTACTATTTCCCGTGCGGACGATGATTATTTCGAGTCGGACGCTCTTGAATCTCAGAGCCTGATCTTCCCACCCTTCCCAACATCTGACGAGAATACATCTGGCGGACAATTGAAGACCCGCGCGAAGCAAAGCTCTCGCCATCCTGAATTCTTCGCTATAGGCCGTGGAAAGTCTATTCACATCGTTAGACCTCGTGTCGCTTTGGCCGAGTATGGTTTTACCTCTCCAGGGAAAGTGGATACAGAAAAGTACTTCAAGGAGAAGTCCATCAAAATTGCTACTGGGAAGGCTGGTAAGGACTTCGTTTTCAGTGGTGATGATACCGTCATTGCGTCGCTCGACAAGACTGGCAGGTTGAGATTTTGGGATCTCCGTGACATTGATGAAATGCTAATGGCCAACAAATGCGATATCCGCATCCCTCTCCTGACTCTTGTTACTGGTTCCTCCAATGAAAAGTGCTGGCCAACCTCTGTTGTTTTCATTGACAAACAGAGGCCTTATCTGAAGGCCCATGCTCTGAGATACATCCTTGTGGGTTTGAAACAAAACCATACTCTACAGCTTTGGGACCTAGGCCTAGGAAAGGCCGTGCAGGAGTTGAATTTCCCTCACAGTAACGAATCAGACGCAATTTGCAGTATTGCATACCACCCAGGTTCTGGCATCATCGTCGTTGGCCACCCAACTAGAAACTCAATTTATTTCATCCATTTGTCTGCACCCAGATATGCACTTCCCCCAATGTCCCAGGCTGCTTTCATTCAGGCTGTGACGAACAAAGATCCTGACCTTCCCAAACCCGACTCAACCGCTTGCATGAGCGGAATCCGAGAAATCTCTTTTGGTTCACGCGGGCAATTACGAAGTCTTCAACTTCTTCCATTGACTAAGTCACCGGGCCAGGAAGATAATGGCTTGTTTGAGCTGTATATTATGCATTCGCGAGGAGTAACCTGCCTCAGCATCAAAAAGCTTGACCTGGGTTGGGACATCGACAACAAAATTGTTGAATCGGTAGATGCATTGGAGAAAGGGTATATTGAGATCAGGGATATTCAACCTGTCCAGCCCGCGGATGATAGCAGCCGAGGTGAAGAAGGCAGTACACTTTCCAAGAGCCCGCGCCACGACAATAAGGAAACGAAGAAGGAAGCTGCATCTGCTACCAACTCGTCTGTTCCTGAGTCTCCAAAGAAGAGATCGGTAGCAGAATCCGCGTCTACCACTACCCAGCCTCAGCAGGAACAAGCCACAGGCGAAAAGCCAGACAAAAAGAAAAAGAAGAAAGAAGTTGCAGCCAAATTGAAGGAAACTACAAAGGCAACAGAGGAGTCTTCTGATGCCCCAATTTTGTCGCCTGTTAAGCAGGTCATTGGTCGAAAACAGGCTCCAGTGGAGCAACCTCGGTCTCGCCAGGTCGAGGCCGAAATACCAGGCGAATCGGTTATGTCTATGCAAGCCTTGTCTAAGGAGGTGCAGAAGATCGAACAGAATTTGACATCCATGTTCACTGCATCCCTTAATGGTGGACTCGATACCGTATATCGCCGTTTCGAAGATGATCGTCGCGCTCAAGATAAGCTTGCGACTATTCGTCAGGATGAGGTATTGCGCCTAGTTTCGAAGACGTTGTCTGAAAATGTTGAGAAAACACTTGCCCACATTGTCTCCGAAAGCATTAAGCAGTCTGTGCTTCCAGCCCTGAAGGATAATACCGCTTCTGCCCTTGATAGACAAATCAATGGTGCAGTCAAGGCTGCCTTACCAGACGCAATTGCTAAAGCAATGCAAACCCCTGCTACTGTCCGTGCCATGACTGAGATTATGCTGCCCTCCATCACTAGCCACTTTGACAGGGGACTTTCGAATGCCGTTAAGAATATCGTCTCGGTATTCAAGGAGGAGCAAGCTCATACTGCGGAGAAGGTCGCCAGAGATGTGGAACGGAAATTTTCTACCAAAATGAAGCATCTTGAAAACCAACAGATCAAGGACAGCGTCAAAATTGACCAGCTTGTGTCATTGGTCAACAACATGAACGACTCCATGTCCACGATTGCCCAGGCTCAGAATAGTTTCGGCGCTGAGATACTCAAGCTCCACAAGCAGATGCCTGTGCAGGAGCCAGAGTCCCCGCAGAAGCAAGCCGTCTCCGCACAACGCGAGACCCAAAACGTCCAACCTTCTGACGAACCCAGCGAACTTACTCAGATCGGCCAGCTTATGGAGGAGAGAAGATACGAGGAGGCGTCTATTAAGGTATATCTACACGTGCCATCACAGCACTCCCTAGAAGCTTGTTTGATACTAATGATATACTCCATATAGTGGCTTCAATCTTCCCAGCAGTCTGAGCTCTTCAGTAACCTATTTGTGAATTACAACCCATCATACCTCGGAAGCTTGTCACCTGTAGTTGCTCTCTCTGTCAGTGCAGCAGTGACCGCTTCTATGGACACCCACATCATGGAGCGCTTGAATTGGCTGCAACACGTTCTTCGCACTGTCAATATTTCGGTAAGCCGTTCGTCATTATACGGATATAACCTACCCTTACTAACTTTGACATCTAGGACCCTTCCATTAGCGAAATTGGACCTCGCATCATGGATATTCTGATCCAGCGCCTCGAAGCGTTGTTCATCTCCATTGCTCAGAAAACACCTAATGACCCCATCCTCCACCGAATCCCACCAATTACTCAGTGGGCAGCCGTTCTCCGAGACGCAAAAGTAAAAAAAATCAAGAGGCTTAACCCTCATCCACCCTCTCCATCTCACTTTCGATTTATGTTCCCATTCCTTATTTGGCTATGATGATGACCAACGTTCTGTTGTGAGACATTTACCTGGTTCACAGCGGCAGAATGGTATTGCTCTACAAAAATCGGCTATTGGGATTATGATGCATGCTGGTGATTATGATTCATCTCATTCTCATATAATGGAGGCGGGCTTATTTTTCCTTTTTGTGTCCTGTCATTTTTTTTTCCGGTTATTTCGGGGGGTTGGGGATAAAATAAATCGGTCTTACTGGCATTTCGGTTCTATTCTATCCTACCTATGTATTAACTAATTACCAACCACCCGTCTGTTTTCCTTTTTATTCTATGAAAAACGAAAGCCCAGAAAAAAAAAAGCACGTATTTCTGTTTCCACATATTTTTAACTTGTAGTTATTTCATGCTCTTCAAGTTTACAGGCAAAGCACCACTGAGTAAAAGCCGTGCTATTTATCACATCCCCCCCTTTTCCTTAAGCGCCATTCCACAAAGCAGGTAAACGAGCTCAAGACTCAAGAATACCAACGAAATGCGATGCCTGTCTATCCTTTTCCCCATCCATAGAATGCCAACAACAAAAGCAATATGTGACCAATGGCTCAAGCGTTAAACTCTTCCCTTTCAGCCTTGCCTTCCCCACCTCCTGATTCGAAAAACTCGAACCCAATGGCTCTCCAATTAAGCTCTTCTCTCCAGTGCAGTCCGTACCCATTCACAGCGTCCAGCGCATTGCTCTCCGCGGACCTTCGCATACCAGAATTCAAAACGGTGATGCTTCGGAAACGCGAAAGCAGCATCCCCATCGAGCAGCATATACATGGCTCATGCGTAATGTACAAATCTAGACCTGTGCACAGATACCCACCCTTCGAGGACTTGAGTAGATTAGGCAATTGAAAGAAATGCGATTCAAGCGAGGTCGACGATAATGGGGCCGATTCTACTTCCGAGGGAGCAGATACTTCTTCTTCCACTTCATCGGTGACAGGCTTGTTCAGCGCTATTCGTTTTCTCGACACCATTGATATGCCCCGCATAACCGCATGGCTTTCGGGCCCAGCCTCATCGTCAATGGAATATTCCTTTTCCTGATGTTGTTGTTGTTTGCGCTCGTGCTCGTTCTCGTGCTCATGTCCTAGCGAAGCTTTCCACCACCTCGTATCCCCTGAAACTGCAACTACGGCATTCAATAGGTCGTTTGTGTCATCTGGCTTCCCGACTGTGAGTTCGGGGTCGACGATAACCACGCCTACACCACGGCCTCGACCGGATTGTAAGGTCTCATTCGCTACCTCCTTTGCCAAGGCTAAGAAGTAGCCTGCTCGGGGATATATTGAAGCTTTGGCTCGCACAAGCTGGACTTGTGGTGGTGCGTGGGCTGCAACTCGTGCTGCAGGGTTATATATCGTGGACCATTTTGTGCAGGACCATTCGAGTGCTTCGGCGGGCGTTGTAGGTGGTTTGGTGGAGATGAGTGTTTTTTGGATCCGGACTGTAGGTAGTTTTTCTGGTGACGGTTGTTCTGTCGTGGTGGTGGTGGTGTCGGATCCACTGTGACTGGGCGGTGATATTCTCGGGGTATACGGTGCCAGTAGGGCTTGCAGCTCTGATGTTTCCGGCAAAGGTGGTGGGATGAGCACATGGATTGAAGCAGTGGGCTTTGGTCCTTGGGCCTCTTCAAGTTCCTGTCTCAATGGTTCCGGGAGGTTTTCTGGCCGTAGTAGCCTGCGCAGATGGGACCGGCTGACTTCAGGGTTTCTCGGGTAATGGGTATCAAGTAGTTTGACAACTACATTTGACGACTTTATGTCGATCTCGGCGACGTATGCTTCTTCTATAGGCCTGTTAGAACACGGCCTGCTTCAGTTCAACATGGTGGAGGGTGAGGTGGTTCTAACCAAACGAATCAACTGGCCGAAGTTCCTGAACAGAAGGCAGAGTGTCCAGTTCTCCTTGTAAGGGTTTGATACCCCTTAATCTTTCCTCCACGGCCATGGTACGGGTATGGAAGCCGGCTTTGATACAGATATGTGACTGTATATACTACTGAGTTAGTAATGCGGCAGTGTATCCCGGTAGAGGGAGAAAGGGCGTCTCTATACTACCTTTGAGCGGAAGATTAGCTGTGGCAAGACAGACTGCGCAACAGCATGTTGTAGTCTATAGGATGTTCCCAATACTATCATCGACATGCATGGGCCATCGAGTTATCGTCCACAGCTATCAAATGTTGTATGCCACATACTGTACACTGTGACGAGGATGGAAGAAGAAGTTGGGAGTTGAATTTTGTGCCAAGCCCTCTGGTTGCCCTAAAGTAAAACTCGCGGCGGCATCGACAAGGCAAATAACTAATATATGGTAAACACTCAGATATCGTATCTTCATGGTCATGCATTTGAATATTTGGAGTAGTAAGGCGTGAATAGGATACAGAGGGCCATGCTCTTGGAAGATCTACATAGAAGTTGAATATACTGCAAGTAATAAAAGATATAGGCGGGGGGCGTCAGGCTGGAGTAGAAGAGGAGAGAGTAGCATTAATGCAGCGCCCATGTGAAACTGGGGGCTGTCTGACAGTTGACTCTCTTTTGCGTGAGAACTATTTACCACACGTATGTATAGATCAAAGATCGAACGGAAAAGCCCGGTGAAGCAGCTCCAGCCGTTTCTCTAAAATCATCTATTTGCATAAAAAGAATAAACACGAAGAGAAACAAGCCCAAACGCCTGAAGCACCGCCAGCCAAAAATGTAAAAAAGGGTGGAAAGAGAATCCCGAACCAAGCAGTGCATGAGCTAGAACGTGAAGAGAATGCGGCATAACCCAGTATTATAGAGTTGGGTTTTGAGTATTATGAGTTATGTGGAAGAAGATGGTGTGCTCTGCGCAGAGTCTGGCTCGGTCTTTTCGTCGGCGGCGGTGGTAGTGGTGGTGGTTGAAGGCTCAGGTTTTACGTGGGATTTGGGTTGAGAGTCGGCTGGCGCAGAGGAAGCAGCTGGTGCGGGTCTCGGGGCAGGAGGAGCAGTGGCAGGAGCCCGGATTGACCGAGCACCTCCGGCTGCCGTTACTGCCGGGGGAATCGGCGGAGGAAGCTCTGGTTGCATCTCGTAGTCGTCGCAGCGCTCGACCAGGCTGAGATAGTAGTCAACAAGGACCTCTGGCTGGGGCACGATACGCCATTCCACCCGCCAGAGAAACTCTAGCTCCAGGAGAGCCAGTTCCTCCACGCTGATGCCTCCCACTCGGGCGTAGGTCTTGTTGGTCCAGAAGCTGTCACTGAGCCCCTTGCTGGCGACGGTGGCACTGCTGATGAGGAACCGGTGGACGGTCAAGCTGGAAATGGTGAAGGCCGGGTACAGAGCGCAAAGACGGTCTATGTAGTACACCATGCTTAGCAGGATGGGAGGCGAGAGCGTTGCGTGAGTGGTGAGACGCTGCAGGTAGTCCTGGACCGATATCCGGGGCGGAGAGCGGGAGTGAAACCGAGTCAGCCTGCCGTCCCGGAGCGGGATCTGGTCGTTGAAGCGGATGAGCTCCATGATCATGCTTGAGATCAGGACTACCAGGTCCCGCGGGTCTGCAGCTTCATAGCGTCGAGGAAGAAGCTTGACCGGGGGTTTGGCAGGCCTTAACCTCTTGGAGGCCGAACCTTCCGGCGGCCTGTCATCGTCATCCAATTGCTGCCGGCGCTGATTCTGCTGGCGAGCCTGTTGTTGCTGTGGCAGTTGCTGCTGCTGCTGCTGCTGTTGTGGCAGTTGTTGTTGTTGTTGTTGTTGTTGTTGTTGTTGTTGTTGTTGTTGTTGTTGCTGGGAATGAGGATTTTTGGAGAGAGCTGGGGTGGACGCAGGCCCGGGGGCGGCAATCACCTTCGTCGCATCTGGAGGGGTGCGTTTGGTCCCTATGGCAGTGCCCGGCATACGTGAACTCTCGCCGGCGGCAGCAGCAGGATCAGACGGGGTCGAGGGCCGGGAGTACTGGGTGCCCGCATCTACCGTCTGCCGCTTGAAGGTCGTCCGCAGCTGCTCGATCTCGGGCGAGGAGCAGGAGCCGCTGTCTGCCGAGTGCTGCTGCTGCTGGCTGGTCGCTGTCTGCCGCGGCGAGGAGCGAGGAGTGGTCGAGGCCAGGAGAGGAGACGGACGCTGCTGGAGGCTGCTGTTGCTGTTGCTGTTGTGGTGGTGGTGATGGTTATGGTTGTGGTGGTTGTGGTGGTTGTGGTGGTGAGGACGAGAGTTCGGCGAGGCGCGTAGCAGCGCGGCAGTGGTCGGCGACAGGGAGGCGGCGGAGGAGGCCATCATCGCCGCCGCTGCGAGTCTGCGAGTGCTTCTTCTCCTGCTTCTTGTCCTTCTCTTTCTTCTTCTTCTTGCTGCTGGAGTCGCTGCTGGCGATGGGCATGGAGGGGCGCACGTGGGCGAGGAGTGCTGGGTCTATGGCGAGGCGGCAGGGGCGAGCGTGCGGGCTGCAGCAACATCGAGCTGCGCATCGTATAGCTATAAGAAAGGAGAGGGAACAGGGCCCAGGGACAGAGAGAGACAGAGGAGAGGAGAGACAGGCCAGAGGAATATCAGAAAAGAAACGAAGAGACGCAGCAAGGGAAAAGAACTGCAGAGACGAAGACTGAAGACCGAAGACGAAGACGAAGACGAAGTCGACGAGAAAGCCTTAAGAGGTCGAAGTTGCAAAAAAAGGAAGAAAAAAAGGAAGTTTTTGCGGTGTTTATTTTTATTTTTTTATTTTTATTTTTATTATTTTTTATTTTCAACTTTTTTTTTTTTTTTTTTGCAAAAAAAGGGGGGAAGGCGGTGGCGGGCGGCAGAAAAAGACAAAAGAGAGGGGGACGCCATTTAAGGTTAGGGTTTAGTCACGTGAAAATGGGGCACAGATCATATCACGTGAGAAGGTGCATTAAGTCATGTGATCTGGGGATGTGATGACTAAGGGGATCAACAGCGGCAACGGTGATTGGCTGGAGCTTGCCGGGCCAGACCCAGGATTGATTAGATAAGATGATCAGCGCTAGGCTGCTTTGGGACAGCAGTTCGCTTAGATAAGCTGAGTTACATAAGCAGTCCTCTTTTGGGCAAGACGACGACGGGGCGTCTTTTTGGGCGGCCAAAGAGAAGAAGAAAACATCCCTTCGGAGTGCAGAGAAAAGAGACGCCAGCAGACATAAAGAGAGTGAGAGAGTGAGTGTTGTGCGTGAGAGAGAGAGAGAGAGAGAGAGAGTAAGTGAGTGGATGCTGCTGATATGGACAGTGGGCAGGGTTAGCTAACTAAATGCTCTTAACTTCCTAGTTGTCTGTTCGGGTCTTTACCTCCTAACTCACCGAAACCTCTCCTGCCAAAACGCCGGAGTCGAGCTCCCTCTCTCGATATTCTACCCTACCTAGCCGCAGGCCGTGTTGGAATAACTACCTGCGTGACCTTCTCCGTTGTATTGGCCTTGTTTCTTCTTCTGCCTGTTTGCCTCCCCGGCCCTCCTGTTCTCGGCTGTCCTACACCGTTTTCTCGTCCCGCCTGCCTCAAACACCAAAACACACAAGAGCCAGGCAAAAAGACCGAGAGAAGCTTTCCATTCCTCCGTCTTTTTCCCATCCGTCAGTATTTGCGGGCTGGCCTCACGTTCGTCAGTCTGCCTGCCCTGATACCTTGCAGGATGACGAAAGTCGTTAGCCCGCACCTCCTCGACGATGTTCGCAGCGCGGACTCAACCGCTGGCCGGATTGCCGCCCTCCGCACGCTCAAGAATGATATCATCGGCCATAACCAGAAGAAGCAGGCCTGGACAGAGCTAGGCGTCCTGCCGCTCCTGTCAGATGTCCTGTTCAGCCGGCGTGGCGTGGCCAGGAAGGCCGATTTTCATAGTCATAGCCCGAAGCAGCACACCACAGAGGAGGATGAGATGTGCTTCCAGGCCATTACCATTATCGGCAGCCTCGCCCTTGGTATGCACATTATTATTAATTAATACTCGTCCTGTGTGATTTGTATCAGTCATGCTAATTCTTACTTTTGCTAGGTGGACCGGCGTATACCGCGCCTATTTTGGCTGGGGAGACCATTCCCTCGTTGCTCTCCGTACTATCATCACCCTCATGTCCTCGATCCCTCGCCCTCGCTGTCCTTCGAACCCTCAATACCATTGCGGATCAGCTTGCCTTGGTATATCAAAATGTGGATAACCAGACACAGCCCATGGGCGCCCTGCTCTTCACCCGCAAGTACATCTCTACTTTCCGTGGCATTCTACAGCAACCAGGCGACTCTCCCGGCGCCCAACCTTGCATAGAGCTTGTAGCAGACCTCATCTCGAAGACATGCTCCGGAGAGCAGCAGAAGAGCCTTCTAGCTGAGTGCGGCATCTTGGATGTCCTGGGTTTAAGGCTGGCAGCTTTCGTCGTTGCGGGGGGGTTTGTTCTTCCCGGAGCAGAGAATTCCTGTACCAACTCCGGCGCATTGGGTCACATACCAGATCCTGCTCCAGCCGATGCCAAACTAACTCCCATCCTCCGTGCAATTGCCGTCATCATCGAACAGTCCGCGGCTCGCGCAGAACATCTCTTGACATGTCCCGCTTTGGTCACCGTGTTTCCCCGCTCATTCTATGACCTCTATCTCGGTGAGGCTAAAAAGGGCCCATGGAGATCTCCCTATCCATCCGGTTATGGCTTTACCAAACGCAACGTTTTGAATCCCATTGATTCCCTGCTCCCCTCCGTGCAGCCGATGCAAAACAATGGCTCATCCAATTTCCCCCCATTGGGCTCGCAACCTCAGTATGACAAGCGAGGACAGTTCTTTGGCCCTCAGCCGCCTTGTACCGATAGTCCTGCTCCAGAAGAGCCAGAGAGCGTGTTGGTATCGTGGTTGCTTTATGTTGCCCGAGCAGACCGTGGTTATGTCCGTCTTATGGCAGCTCGAATACTTGCCACCCTATTCCGCCATCATCTCCTGAAGAAAAGCCGCGTCCCCATGCTCGGATTTCTCCTGGTTCCTCTCCTAGTTAGAATGCTCGACAGTGCTCACCATTCTGAAGACTATTCCACTTTCAATAGTTACGCCCTGCGTGTTAAAGAGGAAGCTCCCGCTGTGCTAGCCTCCTTGGTCATGGATAGCCGAGAGCTGCAAAAATTCGCCGTCGATAGCGGTGCTATCAAGAAACTCACCCAAATGCTGAAAGAGTCGTTTGCGCCAACTTCAGAAGCCGGTACCCCTATGTGGAGTACAACAAAGAGACCTGCCACAGTCCTAGTTCAATCAACAGACTCAGACACGTCTTTGGGACCCCCAGGATTCACCCGCCAGGCCCTCTCCAAGATAAAATACCGAGAAGCCATTCTCAAAGCCCTGGCTGCACTCTCCCTGGTTAATGATGATTACAGAAAGGCTATATGCGATACTGGTGTTGTTCAGCATATCATTGACTCAATGAAGCCCTGGAATCCGGAAACAACTGTTCTAGGGAACAAGACTTGCATTACCGAATTAGAAGGGAATACAACGCCAGTTATACTCGCAGCTTGTGCCGCTGCTAGATCGTTGACTCGATCAGTCAGTGTGCTTAGAACCAGCTTGATTGATGCCGGCATTGCTGCGCCAATATGCGACTTGGTTAAATCCAGCAATATCGAAATACAAATTGCGGCCACATCAGTAATGTGCAACTTGGCCCTTGATTTCAGCCCAATGAAGGAGGTATGTATACGTTTTTTCGTGAAAATTATCCCTTTTTTTCATGCGTGAATCACTCTTCAGGCTAACCTACGTGCAGGCTCTTCTTGAGGCAAACATGGTCCCACTACTGTGCGAAAATTCCCATTCACCAAATGCAAACCTTAGAATAGAATCCCTCTGGTCTCTCAAACACATTTCCTATAATGTACCAAACAAGATGAAGAAAGATATCCTAGAGGCTCTTGGTATCGAATGGATCAAGCAGGTTCTCTCTCACGACCCTAACGATCCTGTCAATGCCAGGAGACGACAGGACGACATTGCTAGCGAGTTGCCATCCTCACTCATAGAGATGGGCACCTCAAATTCATTTGGCGAACAAGTAGATATTCTCAACCCCGTGATACCCAGCGGCCTGGAACCAGAGTCTCCTATGATGGACTTCGATGGCCACATTCCAGATAGTTCGATAGCCTCGAAACCTGCCGTTGATACTCATTCCGCCGAGAACGTTCGGAAGCGCAGATTGGCGCTAAATGGAGATTTGGACCAGACCAAGAAACTACGCCAAGACGATACGCTAGCACAAGAGGAGCTTTTTGACTTGCTTCGAAACATCATGTGTGGCCCGGGAGCGCCCGATATGATCGACTATCTCCTCCAGAAGTTCGGCCAGACCGACTTCCTAGATATCCTTGCAAGCAAACTCCGTCCTAGACCCCTTCCCACCGCCAATGCTTCTATAGCTTCCTTCAAGGACAAATTAACCACCTCACAACAAAAATCAATACTCCACCCTACCGAAATAATCCGCGCAGTGACTTACGTCCTGATCCACATTGCCGCTGGCGTCTCACGACATCGCCACCTGCTAGTCTTCCACCAAGACCTGCTCAAACTAACCATGGCCTTGCTAAGCCACTCGAACTGGCAGATTCGAGCCAATTGCGTCTGGATAGTGATTAATCTCACTCTTGATGATGACAAGACTGATAAAACTAGCCGGGTTGAGCGTGCCATGAGATTGAAGAGTCTAGGGGTTATGGAACGTCTGAGCAGTTTGGAAATTGATAGCGAATCTGATGTTAGAGAACGAACAAAAACGGCTTTGGATTGGATGAAGGCGCTCTTGGGCCAATAAACTGCCGTCTAGCATGTTAGTTTCTCATGATGATGTATCTATTTTAGCCACTCCTTACGCTTCATAATGTGTAGAATATATTTTACAAAAAAGCATCTTCGTTTCACGCTGCTGTCCGCTTGATATTCAGGGGCTGCATTCGAAATTAATGAAACACGTGATGGGCTGGGGCCAGCAATGAGCTCATAGCCAACGACCTCCAGGGATAACAAACAGGGCGCAGGACTGGGATAAAACAACCTTCTTCATCAGAATATCAATATAAAGCGACTATCTTCTCTCCAATACCGATAGGTACAAAAACACACAGTTCCGAAAAGATGTCTCGTGCAGCTGGTCAAGCTCCTAGATCTGTCCTCAAGGCCCTCTCTCTGCCCCTAGATGGGGCTGGGACGTCCTTTACGCCACTTCATGGAGGGTCGGGCTTCGCTCAAACAGCCCACCTTAAGGCCTCAATTTCCAGCACAAGCAAGGATGAAAACAATTCCAATCAAGAGAAAGATTTCTTCGTGAAAATATCATCATCTGCCTCATCATCATCATCTTTCCCAGAAGAAGGAGCCATGTTTAGAGGTGAATA